CTGTGGAACAGTGAGGGGGTGAGGTCATGGGAGGGGGCCAGGAGGAGCCGCATTACTCACATCCTGGGGCAGGCGGGAAGGGAGGAGGCCTGGAGGGAAGGGGCCGAGCGGCTCCTTGTCCTTGGGCCACTGGGTCAGGGGCTGGGGGCCAGCCCGGCTCCTCTCTGCATGGGACTTTGGGGAGACCCCTACCCTGCACCCCCACCTGCCCCTCAGCCCCCCGCCTGTGAGGTTTCAGACGGCAGGGAGCGAGAGTGACCCTCGAAGGGGCCAGCTCCTCGGGAACAGTGTTCTCAGAAAGCACGCCTTGGCCTGGGGCCAGCACGCTTGTCTGGACAATGGCAGAGCAGTGAACAGTGTGCAGGGTGACGCGGACGGAGCCCGGGCCCAGGCCTGCTGCCTTGCCCTCACCCTCTTTCCCTGGTCTGAGTCTGCCAAGCACGCGGACATCCATGTGCACACGTGCGTGCAGCAGTGTGCGTGGCATGGAGTGTTTGCACCAGGTGTGGAGTGTAAGCGCCCGCGTGGGCCTGAGCATGGGGCTCAGGAGGAATGTGTGTGCTCCTGCCGCGTGTGCGTCTGCGTGTGCAGGGGAGGCCGCTGCGGCTTGTGGGCCTGGATCGGGAGTTGAGATCAGGCTTGCGTGGGGCTTTGGTGGCCGGGACACATGGCCCTACAGGCAGGGTGACCAGACACAGGGTGGCCTCTGTGCTCAGCTGTGCCCATGACAGATTCCCGGGAGCCTAGGGAAGGGGTCTGAGGAGCAAGAGCGATTGTCCTGAGCGGCCCCACGGAGGAGGAGCCCCAGGCCAACGGGCACCCCACCTGGGCCCCTCCACACACACCCGGCACCACACCTTGGCCGAAAAGCCCCAAATGCCCCACACGGACACATCCACGCGTGACCACAGCTTGGACATAGGCGTGAGAGGGGCACGGTGCTGGTCTCAACCCCCCAGGGAGCAACCCCAGGGCTGCCCCAGGAGAGCTCTAGTGGCACCTCCTGTCCACCCCGCAGCCAGGACCCAGCCCAAGCACCCCCTGCACCCCTGCTCCGCTCCCACCCTCCACTGGAGGGGCTGTTGGTGTTCATGGCGGGAAGAGCCCTAGACCCCAGGTTCCCGGCAGTCCCAAGATCCCCGGGCCCTTCCTCGCCAGACAGAACATGGCCCCCCGGCCCCCAGCCCCAGGCCCAGAGCAGGAGGCTGGGCCTCACCTGCCACGTGACCTGACAGGCGCCAGGTGTGGGGGATTAAGTGGCTCCCCGGGGCCCAGGGGGTGGGAGTCGAAGGGGCCTGAGCAGGCAGCTTGGTTTGCGTGGATGGAGTCCCCTGTGGCGGCACGGGGGGAGCGGGCCTGGAGCCGGGGCTGTGGAGGGGCCTGGCTTTTGTCTGAGAGGCTCCGAGGAGACCTAGGAGAGGTTAGATCATGTGCTGGCAGGACTGCGAGACCGCAGAGCCGGCCCACCCTGGCCAGGGGACAGAGGCCCTGAAGGAGCGGGCTGCGGGGTCAGGCGGCGGACACCGGCAGGAGGAGGCTGAGACCCCGGCTTGGGGAAGACAGCCCTGTAGGAGCAGAGACCCAGGGCCCCTCTCAGGCTGCAGGGGAGCCGGGGGAGGTAGGCCGTGCTGGCCAGCAAGGCCCTAGGTGCCCGCGGGACCCCAGCAGCCTGGTATCTGCTGGGCCAGGGCTGGAGGGGCGAGGCCCTGGACCCCTGATCTTAGACCGACCTGATGTAGCCCTAACCCTAACCCAACCCCGAGAAGCCATGGGGCTCCCCATCTATGGAAGAACCCAGAGAGACCTCACAGAGGGTCTGGGGGATGGTGCTGGGTGAACTGTGGGGTGAGGCCAAGGCTGAGGGCAACCCCTTCTTGGGTCCTCTCGTCCGGACACCCTCTCCTGAGGCTCTGCTCTTGGGGAGCAGAATGGAGCACCCCGGCTGGGGTGGTTGGAGTAGAGGGGTAGCTGCCCTCTGGGCTGCCTCTGGCCTGACCCCAGCCCAGGCCCCCAGTGCCCGGCTGGCAAAGGCCGCAGCCACTTAACTCATGTAGGTCAAGTGACAGCAGCTGTCCTGTCCTCTGCACCCCAAGTCATTGCTCCTGTGCCCTCCGGGGCCCTGCCCGGGGTGACAGCTACACTCGGCAGTGTCTTAGCTCTGGTCAGGCCCAGCGCTGGGCTGCCGGAAGAGGGCGGAGGGTCTGCCCCTCCTTGGGCTTCTCCAGCCCTGTCCGGACCCCGGAGCCCCCATCACCGGGAGGCACACGACTGTCCGACACCCACACAGCCCCAGGATCTCCCTACTGGCCCCAGGGAGCCTTCATGACCATCTCACGTGGCCTCTCTTTAACGATGGGGAGACTGAGGCCTAGAAAGGGCAGTGGCCAAACTGGATGGGAGGAGCAGGGCACGGGCCCCGCTGAGAACTCTCTCTGTGTCCCCCACAGGCTCACCACTCAGTGGAGCGTGGAAGATGAGGAGGAGGCCGCCCGGGAGCGGCGCCGCAGGGAGAGGGACAGGCAGCTTCGAGCCCAGGATGAGGACGAAGGGGACCAGTCCCCGGAGCAGCTGGAGGAGGAGAAGCTGTGAGCTGAGCCTCCCAGCTCACCTGTCCTGCACCCTTGGGCAGAGGGGGTCGCTGGGGCTTAGGCCCTGGGCTGGAGACCCCAGAGTAGAGGAGAAGAGGAGGGCGGGGCCCAGCCCCAGAGCAAGGGGCAGGGGTTGGGGTGTCCTGAGGGTGAGGGTCGTCACAGCCCTGTGGGCCAGTGGGGTCAGCCAGACACCTGGCTGGAGACGCAAGCAGCCGCCCCCTCCCAGCCAGCCTCCCGGGGTCCTGACTCAGGCTTTGGTCACCCTGCATGGTCCCCCTTGCTTGGACCGACTCAGACCACAGCTGCATGGCCCTGGCCCCTGAGCCCCCTGCCCCAGTCCTTGCTGCCAGTGACTCACTGAGGCCACGTCCAACTTGGCGGGCCGAGGGCCGGCGTGTTTCCTCCTGGGGCCCAGGAGGCCGCTGTGTCTGGCTGGGCTGGGCTGTTTTTCCAATAATGCCCCCCTTCCTCCCGGCCCTGTTTTGTTCCATTTTCTCCGAGTCAGCAACTCTGGGTGGAGTGGGGTGCTGTAGAGGTCAAGGCCTCTCAGGCCAGGTCCTCGGCCGCAGGCAGGGACCACTGGGGCCAGGACCACGGCCTGTGGTGTGGGTCAGGGCGCAGGTTCTCACCCTGCTGCCCGCGGAGGGAGCCTGGGGCAGCACTCCAGGGCTCCCCTGGGAGAGCAGAGGGAGACTGTCACTCATATGTGGGGACTCCTGGCCGATGGGGTAGGCACAGCCCAGGCCTCGGGGGACCCTGGGCTGAGGGGGGAGGCACAGCCCAGGCCTCGGGGGACCCTGGGCTGGGGGGGGAGGCACAGCCCAGGCCTCGGGGGGCCCTGGACTCATGAAGGTGGCAGTCTCGGCCTCAAGTCGCTCCAGGCTGTGCAGGAGACCCTGTTCTGCCCTCAGGGATGCTTTGACAATGGGGAGCCTCAGCCCAGCCATGGGGCGCTGCCTCTGCGGCAGACAGGGCCTTCCACACTTGGAGCCCGGCTCTGAGCAAGCGGGCATGGGTGGGAGTGGGGCCCCAGCCCGGAGCCAGCCAGCCTGAGACCCTGCCTGCTCTTCTGCCCTCAGCCTGAAGCCCTCGGAGGCCCCTGAACTGGATGAAGATGAGGGTTTCGGCGACTGGTCCCAGAAAGCAGAGCAGCGGCAGCAGCTCTGGGGGGCCAGGGAGAACCCCGACTGCGGGGAGCCCCCTCGGGGCGAGGGTCCGGAGCGGGCGCAGGAGCAGGAGCACAGGCAAGTAGGGGTCAAAGCGGGAGGCTGGGGGCACTCTCTCCAGGGCCCCCCGGCAGCCCCCAGGGCCCCCGTGGCTGTAGGGGGAGAGGGAGGCGGAGAGCAAGGAGGTGGGGCGGGCGGGGTGGGCTCTCACCCCTGGGCTCCCCAGGGCCCCCGGGCCCCATCCAGACCAGCTGTGGCGGCCAGGGTGCTGCTCCGTCAGCACACATCTGCGGCCCGCTGGCGTCAGGGAGGCTGTGCGCCCCGCCGCCCGCCCTTCCTCCCTCGGGGCGGCCGAGCTGCATTCCCACGGAGGGGAGCAGGTATTTCCACATGTGCGGCCTCGGCCGGCCTGGGGCGACCAGCTTTCCAGATGTGCAGATGCTGCAAAGCAGGATGGGCAGGGAGCGGGGGCCCGGGGTGGGGGCTGCTCCCGGGTCCTCACCCCCACCTCACTTCGAGGGTCCGAGCTGCTCCCAGCACCCTACAGGATGTGCCCCAGGACCCCCACTGTGGTCAGGGTCCCAGCTCTGCTCGGGAGCTCCAGGCTTGGGGCCCCAGACCTGGGTCTCTCCCCTCTGGGCCACCTCCCAGCCCTTCCACGTCCCCCAAGCAGCCTCGAGCTCTAGCCAAGACCCCTCTCTGCTTGACCACCCCTCCCACCCTGCAGGCAGGCCCCCAGGCCCCAGAGCCAGCTGCCTGGCCAGGGCCCTGGTGCTAGCCTGGCCCTCCGCCCACACCACCCTTCAGGCCTCAGTTTCCCCGTCTGCCTTGGGGAGCCAGGGCACACTCTGCGTTACTGAGGTGAGGCTGGGGTCAGCAGGGTGGCCCACCTACTGATGCTGGGGTGGCCGCAGCCCGCGGGCCCTGTTCCTTTGTCCCTAGCTGGCCACTCAACAGCAGGGGGCACTGTAGCTCTTCTGTGGACCCTCCCGCTCTCAGCAGCCCTCCTCCCCGCCCCCAGCACCTGCCTGGCCGCGCGAGTGCCCTGCTGCAGCTGAATGGGCCCTCTGTGTGCCTGCTCCTGGCTCGGACCCTGGCCCACCTTGGGTGGTGGGTCTGGGTCTTGGCTGGCAAGTACACCAAGGGGCCTGAAATCATGGAAAATGCGAGAATTTCCCATCTTCTTCTCCAGGTTCAGTCTCGCTCAAATGCAGAGCCGCGCAGACTGCCAGCGGCTGGCCTCTCCTCCCCCTGAGCCAGCGCGGTCAGCCCCTCTCTTCGGGGCTGCGGTCCCCGCCATAACCCCTGGCCTCATCTTGTCCTCTAGCTGACCAGCCCCCAAACCACTCTCAGGCCCACCCACCCACGCACAGAGCAGGGAGCAGGTCAGGAAGAGGGGTCCCAGGCGGCCCCACTGCTGGGGACCAGCCAGCCTAGGCCAGTAGGGTCCACACTGACAAACAAGGCATGGGTGGGGCTTGTCCCGAGAGCCGGGAGGCTTGGGCCGGCCTCGCTGTGTGGGTGGCCATCAGCTGAGAGAGGCCTGCCCGGCAGGGCCGGGCCGGGGGCCCCAGGTCGTTGCTGAGGCCCTTGGGCTCACTTCCCTAAGGGCGCTGGGGTCTCGGGATTCTCGGCGCTCCGCTGGTCTCACTGCCCCATCTTACAGGTGGGGAAGCTGAGGCTTGGAAATAGAAAGGGGCTCAAACCAAACAATCAAATGCCCCTTGGTCAATCGGGTCGCCTCCCTCTTCCCCCACAGACCCCAGCAGCACGTGCACGGGAGCCAGGGCGATGATGAGCTGAGCCCAGGCGGGGTCTGTCTGGAGGAGCTGCGTCTGAGCCCCAGCTCAGAGCCCCAGGTGGGGCTGGGACCAGAGGACACAGAGCCCAGAGGCCCTGAGGGGCCCGTCCAGGGCGGCCCGGGGCTGGCAGAGACTGAGGAGGAGGACAAGCAGGTGCTGGTGGCTCCCCGCGGGGACTGGGCACATCCCAGCTCCCAGGCTGGGTCCGTGTCGGCCGCAGGCGTGCTCTGTGGGCCCCGTGGGCCCCGTGGGCCTGGCCCAGAGGGAGCCGGCACCCCACCTGGGGGGCTCTGTATCCCCTGCATTCTCTGCAGGTGGGGGGGGTTGGTGACCCTGCGTGATGGAGCAACACTTCCCGGGACTCTCCAGTCCCTGCTGCAGAGAATCCCAGAGCGTGTCAGGGCTGGATAGGACCTGAGGCCCAGGGAGGGGAGCGTGTTTCCTCCAGCAGGCCCCAGGTGGGGCGGGAGGGGTGCGAGGGGGCGACATTCAGCTTTCGTGACCACAGGTGTTCTATCTTTAGCACCAGGGATGTCAGCAGCCCAGGACACCCAGCCCCTTGGTCTTGGAGGGGACCGCACCGGACTCTCCTCCCCTGAGCCCCAGCACCAAAGTAGGTTAACTGCCAAACTTCGTTCTCTCTCCCAGACTCGAGACCAGTGACGGCCCCAGCCCAGGGCGGGCAGTGTAGCCGGCTCCCAGCAGAGCCTTGAGAAATGCACTCACTGGGCAGTGGGCCTGGCGGGGGTGGGGAGCAGGAGGGGGCACTGGCCTGGGGGCCTTGCTCTGGCTCCCGAGGCTCAGTCCCGGCCCGCCCTCCACAGCTCATCGACAGAACCGAGTCCCTGAACCGCTCCATTGAGAAGAGGTAAGTCTGTCTGCCTCCCAGGCTAGGGCTTGGGGTTCTCCAAGGGGTGGCTGAAGAGGGGACCCACAGGGCAGAGGCACGGGCCGTGACCTTCTCCTGTCCTCCAGTAACAGCGTGAAGAAGTCCCAGCCAGCCCTGCCCATCTCCAAGATTGACGAGCGGCTGGAGCAGTACACCCAGGCCGTCGAGGTGTGTACCGGTCCCCTCGCCTTCTGCTGGGCCCCTCCTCCGTTCATGCACCCAGTCCTCCGTCCAACCAGCTCCTGTCCATCCACCTGCTCTTCCCTCCAGCCAGCACCCATTTATCCAGCCAACACCATCCATCCAACCACTGTCCCTCCATTGATCCTGCATCCTTCTGGCCTCACACCCTTTTATTCAACTAACACTCCTCCATTCAGTCTGCACTCTTCCTTCCAATCACTACCCCCACCCAGCCAGTGTCCCTCCACCCAGCCGACGCCCATTCATGCAACCAGTGACTCTCCGTCTAACCAGTAATCTTCCATCAGACTAGACCCTTCCATTCAACCAATGTTTCTTCATCCAACCAACACCCATTCATTTGAATAATGACCCTCCATCTGACCAACATTCCTCCATCTAACCAATGTCTCTTCGTCCAGCCAATACTCCTCCATCCACCCAGCCCCCGCTCCTCCAGCCCTACACCGTGAGCGGCACGAGGACAGCTCCACACTTTTCTCACATCCCACCGCGTCACCTGTGCTCTGCAGAGCAAGGGGATGTCTCACAGCTGCACCGAATGGTGGAGGCACAGGTTCTCAGAGCGCCCTGCTCTAGCCCTACGTCGGAAAAGCCCTCCTGGGGAACTAGAACAATACAGAGGTTGTCTCTGGGCCAAAGTGTCTCAGCCAGGTCTCTCTGATGTGTTCCACGTGGCTGTCCAGTAAAGCAGTTCTGGGCCCTGTCTCCTCTGCAGACTGCTGGCCGGGTCCCCAAGCTCGCCCGCCAGCCCTCCATCGAGCTGCCCAGCATGGCCGTGGCAAGCACCAAGAGTCGGTGGGAGACGGGAGAGGTGCAGGCTCAGTCCGCTGCCAAGTCCCCCTCCTGCAAGGTAGCACTCCATCCTGGGGCAAGGCTGGGCTCCCATGGGAAGGCGAGTGTTGAGTGTCCAGGCTGAAGTGTGGGCAGACAGAGCGCTGGGGCAGGTGGGGACGGGGCCGTGGCTGGCCCCGGGGGAGGGCTGTACAGGGAAGGATGTGAGGCTACGCGAAGGTGGACGGTGCCCCCCTTCCCTCTCCTGCCTCCCCCACGGGGCTCTCCCCCGAGGAGGCAGGTGGTCAGGCCCTGGGCCCTGTGAGGCCAGGCAGGAGAAGGGCGCAAGTCCTCAAGCCCCAGCCAGGGCTCTGCCCTGTGACACGCCCTTCCTTCTGCCCCCAGGATATTGTAGCTGGAGACATGAGCAAGAAGAGCCTCTGGGAGCAGAAGGGAAGCTCCAAGACCTCATCAACAGTTAAGGTAGAGCCCAGCCGGGCTGATGCCGGGGGTCGGGGGGCGCAGTGAGATGGGGGCTGCCTCCATCTCCAGGGCTCCGGGAGGGCACCCCTCCTGCTACTCTCACGTCTGCTCTCGGCTTCCTCCCCACACAGAGCACCCCGTCTGGAAAGAGATACAAGTTTGTGGCCACTGGACACGGGAAGTATGAGAAAGTGCTTGTGGACGAAGGCTCGGCGCCCTAGGCCGCCCCGCTGGGTGAGTCCAGGGCAGTGGCCAGAGGGCGCTGCGGGGTGGGGAGGTGACGTCTGCCGTGCTGGGCATGTGCCGGCAGGGAGGTTGGCTGCAAGGCGGCCTGAGAGACCTGAACGCCCTGCTTCTGAGCTGGCCAGAGCCCTCCTCCGGGGTCCCCCAATCCTGCCGACTTGCGCTCCTCCTCCCACCCCCATCTCACACTCTGTCCCCGGTTCTAGCCCCAAGTCTGTTCCCCACGGGGAAACTCAAACCTCCCTTTTGGGAGGAGGCCACCGTGTCCCACCTGGACTCCTCAGGCAGGAGAGTTGTCCTGACCCCTGCAGGGTGAGCCTTGGAGGAAGGGGCTGGCGCAAGGACCCAAGAGCTCAGCCCTCTACTCGGTGGTGGGCTGAGGGTCTGACAGGGGTCAGAGCTTCGCTCACCCTCCTGTCCCAGCAGGCAGTGGCTCCCCCCATTTCTACTGCCCACCCCATCACCTGGTGAAGAGTCAGCGAGGTGACCCATTGCCATGGTTACACACACTTTTATTAGTGGCCTGGGTCCCAGGGTCCTCGTACAGCACCCATTGTGTCCTGGGGTGGGGCAGCTGGCTCCCCACCGACTGCTTCCTCTGTTCCCAAGTCCTGCTTCTGGGGACGGGGCCGGAGTTTCCTCTGGTAACTGTTCCCTCTCCCACTGTGGTCCGCCCCATGGTCGGAGCCTCAACCCTTGTCCTGAGTCAGACCCCAGCTGAGCACAGACTGCCTGAGACTTGGGGCCCCCTTCACCGCCCCCTCTGGGCCCCAGCCCCTCCTCACCCAATGTCGAAGCCTGGTCCTGGCTGAAGCTGAGACCCTGTCTCTCCCTCTCCCAGCAATGAGTCCCCCTCAAGCTCTGCCCCCAGGTAGGGGGAGCAGAAGTGGGCAGCGAAAGGGGCAGGGTTGTGGGGCCAGCTCCCACCCAGGCCTGGGCCTGGCTCTCCTGTCAAGGCTCTGTCCTCGGGACACATGGCAGTCACACCGCTGACCCAGCTGATGGTGCCCCACTACTGAGTCCCCCCGACCACACTGCTCTGCGCAGCAGCACAGTCATACCCCGAGTCTTTCACAACAGAAGGGAGGGGCTGCAGCGCCGGGCCCCAGCGTCCTCTCCCTACTGTCAGGCATCAGGGCCCCTCACCCAGCGCATCCGGGGCTCAGCCAGCCCTGCTCCCCGTCTGCCACTTCCCTGGCCCTGGGCAGGCCCTCCTGTGCATTGCACAGGCCAGAGCCAAGTGGCCAGGGGACCGCCTCGTGCAACCCCTGCCCCAAGCCCTGTGCAGACTCAGGCTGGCCCTGCCCAGCGAGGGCAGTCACACAGTCCCTCCCTCAGAGCAGACCCATTTACTTTCTGTCCCCCAAAAGTTTCGCCCTGTAAGGCCCCATACTCTACCCCGACGCAGACTCCTCTCTGCCCCTCCTCACCCACCACCTACTTAACCCCATCTGCTCCCAGCCACGTCCAACCTCCCATCTCCCACCACAGTCCTTCGTGCTCCCGTCCACCTGACCTGGCCCTCCTGACTGCCCAGCCACCCCCGTGCTCCCCTCAGCATCCGTCTGGCCCTCATGCACTCTTCGGTGGCCCAGCTGGACCCTCAGCTCCCCTTCTGTCCGCCCCACGGTCCTGGGCTGGGGTCTTCCTGGCCGTTCACTGGAGCCTCCAGCCGGCTGCCGTCCGGTTGAAGTTTCTGGGCTGGGGGCTCAGGTCCAGGATGGGATGGATCACAGAAGGGGGCCGGGCGGCTGCCTCCTGCAGCTTCCGGGCGTTAAAGCGAGGCCGATAAAGGAAGGGCAGGCGGCTGAGGCCAGTCACGGTGCGTGCCCCAACCCCGGGCCCAGCCTGGCCACCACGGGACTCAGCCACCGACATGCGGTACAGCACTGCGTCCCACATCCTGGAGGCCCGGGAAGCGGGGGGCCGGGCGGCCGGGCCAGCAGGGGCTGTCACCCCCCGCCCTGTGTGCCCTGGGTGCTGCTCAGGCCCCGGGGAGGCGGGCTCCTCCTCCTCTTCCAGCAGCTGCTTCTTGAGGCGGGTCCAGCCGCTGAGCTGGGGTTTGGGTGCGACTTTGGGGACAGGGCATAGGTGGGGGCCTGATAGTGGGGCAGTAGGCGAGGCCCCACGGGGGCTGGAGACCCGCTCGGCTTCAGCAGCAGGGCCAGCAGTGGGGGCCTCCTCCAGGCGCAGGGCCTCAGGGGCCACAGAGGCGGGCCTGTAAGGTGAGGGTCCCGGCGAGTGGTAGGTGGGGGCAATAGGGACCACCGCCCGGAGGCTGGCCCCTCTGGGCAGTGAGGCCTGGAAGCCAGGGGGTGGCCTGGGTACAGGGGGCACCTCAGGCCGGGGACTGGCAGCCTGGGCCCCGGTGGGCAGCGGGCGGATGTGGGCCACTGGGATCAAGGGCTGAGCTCCTGGAGGGCACGGGGCTGGGTGTCGGTCCTGGACACCAGGCCCCTCATCCAGGGCTGCCCGGGGGGTTTCTGGGGTCCCGGCCTGCGGGGACGGAGATAGCCGGATGTGCACCTGGCTGATATGCATGCCCCTCGCTGTGGGGGCCGAGACCTGGGCGTAGCTGCTGGGGGACTCGGCAGGCTCTGGGACTGGGGCAGCGAGCTGGGGCCCCGTGGCCTTGAAGTGAGAAGCCAGGCTCCTGCACTGGGTGAGGCTAAAGGAGAACGTGGACCTCTGTGGAGGCGATGCCACGTGGTGGATGACGGGGGTGTGGGGCGAGCGG